AACACTAGTATTCTAAGAAAATTGCATCGGAAAGTAACAAATTAATCAACTGTTCATAAAACTAGCAACTTTTTGCTGGTTTTGCGTTTTCGTACTTTCTTGCATATGGCAAGTTACTGGATATTTTTTGCTGGAGAATACGAAAACACAACTATTACCATCTATTAACGGATAATGTTGACTGAACAAATTCCCTCTCCTACTTTTCTATCTCTTCCAAATCAGTGTCAGCAGTGCAAATGGACGATTTGTTGTAGAACAAAACTAGATAAATGCATGGTTGAATTTTGGGTTACGTTTTCCTGTAACAAATTTTTTACATACATATCTACATATGTAATTTAGTGGAAAAACTAAAATAAAAAATCGTCATTACGGGGGAAAAGTCGTCAAAACGTCACTGAGCTAAAAAAAAAACGTAAAAATTACGACCAAATCGTCAATTCGGCAACGCTGCTTGTACCTCACACGAATCATGCGTGCATGTACGTACATATACACGCAACACACTTTAGTATCGATACGAAAAACAGTTTCGTTACCGCACAATATGTTGTGTTGTATTGATTCACGTTGATGGTGCATATAGGGAACATGCGAGTAACGAGATTATTGGGGCGTATTCTTGTTTTCGTACGAATCGAAAATCTTTAAATTTTCCTATCATTTTCTGTACAAAAATTTCAAAGTTTCGATTCGTACGAAAACCAGAATAGGCGCCATTATGTGACTAACGAAGCGAATCTTGCAGCGTAACGCCCCGTCTCCACAGGCAAAACTTTTTGGCTACCAACTGTCATTTTTATAGCCTGATAAAAATTTTATCAGAGGCAATATTTGAGCGTGGNAAAATTCTACTAAATTTCCAACAAAGTTAGAAACGTGAATTTATATGTTAATGTTATAACACTTATGAGCCATCCTTATATAAAAAATTTACGAAAAATATTTAACATGAAAACCATTGTGAATATTTAAAATTCTACATGTTCTTATTAGATGCCGGGGAGTCTATATATTACATTTCAATACATTTAATACAACTTAACGCTGAGTTATCACAAATAAGCATCTTTTAGATTTTAAATTATAAGTATCCCAGAAATACCCATTATACGTAACATATATAAAACATATATTTTTAAGAATAAATTATTTTTAAATATAAATTATTTTTAAGAATAACGATTTTAGAAAATGAAGGCATAATTGGCTCTTTATGTTCCTAATTTTAAAGCACAGTTTTCCTTAAAAAGTAAATTAGTGCAAATCAAATAGCCCTTTAAACATAAAATGAAGTACTTTTTATTTACAAAATTGTATGCGTGCTTATTCTTTTTTCTAGTCCGGAGGTGACCTTTTTTGAACTATCTAGGAACTGTTATATGAACTGTCTCAGAACCATCTTATCCAGAGTAAGCTCAGAACAAGTTCAAAAGTTCTGCAGAGGGCGACAATTGTCACTTCGTAGGGCATCGCCATGTTAAAAAAGACAGTTGAAAGCGTTGATTTGGAATAGATGAAGAACCAGTACCGTCCCTTTGATACAATCAAGCACTTGGTATGGAAAAGTAGGCACAATAGTGCCATTTTTGGCCCTTTCATTCTCAGAGGCACTTTCGGCACAATTCATCCTGTTTTGGCACAATCATAAAATATAGAAGTTTAGAATAAAATGCCAATATATAACAAAAAATTTCATACCACATAATAGATTAAAAAATCACAAAAAGTGTAAATTAAAAGCACTTACAAATTGGAATAAGAGAATTATTTGCAAACCGCTGAATTATGTTGTTAATATGCAGTACGACAAGTAAGTTTTCGCCACAACAAGCTTTTAATTCAGAATTTTAGGAATGATTCTAAGTTCGCAGTTTTATAGTTCATTAAATAAAAGTGCAAGTTTCTGCAATATCCCGATGATTTTTGATATTTTTTTTCTGACGGTGTCGTACATTTTCATCCATTTAAAAAAATTTCGAACACACTTTATATAGAAGAAATGCATAACATCGAAAACTTGGAATCTCCCTAAAAATTCTGAATTCAAAGTATTTTGTTGCGAAAACCTGCTGAATTTTTATAATTTTTGTACAAAGTTTGAAGTGCTTATTTGTGTACATATATTGTGTTTATTAAACCTAGAATACTAACCTTGTTTTTTATTCCTTTAATACTAACGTTCGCCTGTGAGGCTACTTTGAAAAAAGTACAAATTCTGTCTTTCTAAAACTTTAAATTTGTTTAAAAAATGGGCTTAAACATATTTCATATGTTTTTAAAGTAAAAAAATAAAATAATTTAATGATTTTTTTTAATATTAATAAAAATAATTCGTATTAATTATTACATATTTTATAATCTTTTTGAAAGGGGTCACTTTAAAAAATTAAAAAAATTAAAACCATTTAAAAGCGAACGCAATCAAACCAGTGTACGAAAATAAACTATATTGTACGTTACTATTTCGTTTCGTTTATTACTTTAACAGTTCGGTACAATACGAAACAAAACGGCTGAGTTCACTTTGGCGATAGTACACTACAGTAGTTTAGTAGTTACAGACGAAACAACAAACGAAATGAATCGTGCAGGGAAAATATATTTATGTATGTACATATATGCAATAAACAAATACAAAACGAATGGCTGCAATGAATAAAAAAAATAAAAATGTTTTTTAATTGAATTGGATATGAAAATTTACAGAAAAAATTATTTTTCACGTAATTGAAACGTTTGCATACATATAAAACGTACCCTATGGTACAATTGTCACAAACGAAAAGCAAACGTTTCTCGTTGGGGAAAATGACAGTGAATCTTACAATTTGTTTCTGACTATTTACAAAACTGTACAAAACCACAAATGATATGATGATCGATGAGCAAATGGGAATTGTTTTGTACAGTTTATTTTCGTACCCTGAATCAAACAATCCATAAATTATCTTAAGGGTATTCGTATTTACTTTCACACTTAAAAGGAATTAGTTGTTTATCTTTTCTATTGTGACCTGTACTTAAAAATGAAATCGACTTTTTTGTATCACATTGGGCCTTATGAATAAAAACTAAGCAATGCTTTTTTCTTAAAATTTCAGATCCTTTACGTAAAGTTATTTGAATAAATCAAGCAAAAGGTTTGAAATTTTAAGAAAAAGCAACTGCTTAGTTTTTATTCATAAGGCGCATTCACTGAAATCTTCTTCCAAATTGTGAGCTATCGGTTCCATTCAACGATATTTCTTCCAACCATTTTAGAACTTGTTCTTTACAGGAACCCCTCTCGAAAAGAAGAAAAAAATAAGTTCAAAACAGAAAATAGCCAACAAACATGTTAAAAACTGNGAGCTATCGGTTCCATTCAACGATATTTCTTCCAACCATTTTAGAACTTGTTCTTTACAGGAACCCCTCTCGAAAAGAAGAAAAAAATAAGTTCAAAACAGAAAATAGCCAACAAACATGTTAAAAACTGAAATAAGTACAGCAAACAAAATTACCTTTTCTACTAACGTTCACCTGTCAGGCGTCAAGAGGGCGTGGAACTCAGCCGCGCAAGGTCACTGTACAATGTGCGTTTCCTAACCCTACAAGAACAGTGATAGTCATTTGATTGATCATGTGATAATCACCGGTGATGGAGATCTCAATCAAGTACTTCTATCAACTTTTTAAGAGCAATATGCAAAACGTGATGCAAACATTTGTGTACATGTGATCTTCCGTCTTCCTCGAAATTATGTGTACGTGTTCACTCGCCTTTCGACTACACACAGTTGAGTCATTCAGAGTCATACTAGAGTTATATCGGTGTAACTAACACATATTTATTTTTACTTAACACATCCAAATCGACTCGCGAATCAGACGCACCGTGTATGTCGCCTATAAAAAATCCCTCGTAAAAGTGATTTACTGTAATAATTTATATAATTAATAATTTTTATATAAAGAAATAATTATTATAAAAAAAATTTAATTTTGTGGCACTTTCATATTCTTTTCGGCACAATTTTTGAAGGCCATTAGGCACATTTTGAAATTCCATCCCTGCTTGCACCCCACCAGTGTTGCCAACTCGGGGGATTTCGCCCATAATGTGATTTTCGCACCATAAAAGGGCGCGTGGAATTTTGCGTCTCATTATGGGATTTTTAGATAATAGAATTTGATGGCATAAAACAACATCTGCCACCCGAAAAAGGCCTTATTTTGAGGAGGGCAGAAAACGCCTCGAGCGGTCCTGCCTTTAGCCAANGATTTTTAGATAATAGAATTTGATGGTTCTATTGTTTTTTTTATTTGCTGTTAATTCCAACGTGCATAAAACAACATCTGCCACCCAAAAAAGGCCTTATTTTGAGTAGGGCAGAAAACGCCTCGAGCGGTCCTGCCTTTAGCCAAGAAGTCCAGGAGGGTCCCGAGGTCACTCGTCTGGCGGAGAAATCGGACTCGGCATCAGAATCGGAAATTGATATGCAATCCGATTCTGGGTCGGGTCTGTCTTCGGTCGCTGGACGAGGGATTTGGAGAACCTGTTTCTGGCATCGGATATGGAGGACACCGATGATACTGTCGTGGAGGTGTCCAAAGGTACCGCGCTAGGAGCTATGGACGGCGACAACTCGTTAAAGGCTGTGGATGAAGGACCTGCAAATTAACCTTCACCACTCCAAAGCAGCCTCCGCAGCTCTGCTCCTACACCTTAGTGATAAAGGGCAGGAGCTAATTTTAGTCCAAGAGCCCTGGGTTGTAAAAAACGTGGTCTGCGGGCTTAGCTCTGATGCTTACTGTTGTAAATTTAACTTATTACTTGTTATTTTACTGCTTGTTATAATTGAATCATTGTAACCATTCCAAGTTCTTCAAATGAGTCAGAAAACAATTTGTAATTTTTAATTCAATATTAAATACTTGAATCGCAAGCTGTTAATTCTCTTTCACTTCCCTATAATTTTATCATTTGGCGACGAGAATTTCTTCAATTAAACATGGATCCTATAAGCAATCATCCTCTAAACGATATCCTGTTTCAAATGCAGGAAGGCAATCAGCAGTTTCTTACGAAATTAATGGCCGAGAATCAACAGATACTATCAGCAATATTGGCCCGTGAGCAACATTCTTCGAAGGCGATTCCAGTTTTCAGATCTTTCGAGAAGTCAAAGGATAAATGGTCAACATATCTGCTTCAATTGAATCATTATTTTCAAGCAAATGGCGTTCGTGATGAAGATACGAAGCGCGCATGTCTCCTCAGCTGGATAGGAAGCGAGTCTCTCGAATTCCTTCAAAATGTATTTGGCAGTGATCTCAATAATAAGAGTTTTGGTGAACTTATTTCTAAATTAGATGAGCAGTATACAGAAAAGCAGCATGTACTCGCTGCTCGTTTCAACTTCTATCGCACCTTAATGAAGCCTGAACAGAGTTATGCAGATTGGATTGCAGAGTTACGCGGATCAGCTAGGGAATGCAAATTTGAATGTCAAAAGGATAATTGCAAGGAATCGTACGTGGATTACAAGATACGTGATATGATAGTCGTCCATTCCCCACATGACAAGGTTCGGTCAGCAGCACTTCAAAAGATTAATCCAACTCTCGACGAGGTTTTCAGTATCGCCTCAGTCTACGAATCAACGCTCAAGACGTGCTTAGAAATAAAAGGTGAAAATTCTGATTCAACAATCAACAAGCTTTCTTTTAAACGACATCAGAATCGGGGATCTAGTAAGAAAACTAATAACAAGAGTAACACACCTAAGGATTCACAAATGTTTCGTAAGTCATGTCCAGAATGCGGTAAGTCGCATCAGCGAATTCAATGTTTCCACTACAAGAATAAATCGGTGTGTAGGAAGTGTTCCAAAATTGGTCACATTTCTTCAGTGTGCAAACTAAATTCTGTATCCAATTCACGTCAAGCATCTGGTGAATTTTTCAATGAGAAGGTTCAAAATGTTAGTGAAGAAGAAGTTTTTTCACCTTTCGAGACTATAANCAAGTTATGTGTAATGGTAACACGAAAACTTTACCTCTCACTGTTGTCGATAGTGATAAAGCATCAAATATTTTAGGCCTTGATTGGTTTAAGGCAATGAATTTCAATATTCAATTTCCAGATTCAAACTTGTGTAATTTTTCATCTTCGGAGTCTGTTCAAGACAAATTAATTTCCGACCTCAAAGATCTTTGCAATATGTACCACGTTAGTATTTTTCAGCAGTCTCTAGGACTTTGTACAAGTTTTAAAGCAAATATTGTACTGAAGTCTGGTGCTAAACCGAAGTTTTTCAAGCCGTATAATTTGCCTTTCGCGNTTAGTATTTTTCAGCAGTCTCTAGGACTCTGTACAAGTTTTAAAGCAAATATTGTACTGAAGTCTGGTGCTAAACCGAAGTTTTTCAAGCCGTATAATTTGCCTTTCGCGCAATATGAGGCCGTTTGCGCTGAAATCAACCGTCTTGTAACGAATAATGTCTTAAAGGCAGTCAACTCAAGTGAATGGGCAGCACCAATAGTAGTGCTTAAGAAGCCTAATGGCAAGTTAAGAATATGTGCTGACTTCAAAGTTACAATTAATCCGCAATTAGAGGTGGATAGATGTCCAAATCCTCGAATCGGAGATTTATTTCACAAATTACAAGGCGGAGTTTACTTCACAAAAATTGATTTGAGTGAAGCTTATCTTCAAATAGAACTTTCGGAAAATTCAAAAAAATATATGGTTATAAATACACCTTTTGGTTTATTTCAATACCAAAGAATGCCTTTCGGAGTGTCTAGTGCTCCTGGTATCTTTCAAAGGTTAATGGAAGAAATTATATCTGGTATTCCAAATTGTGCAGTTTATCTTGATGACATCATTATTACTGGTCGAAATAGTGAAGATCACATAAGAACGTGAAGGAAGTTTTTGAAAAACTAAGATATCATGGACTAAATTGTGGAAAAGAGAAATGTCATTTTGCGAAAGACCGTATTGAATATGTTGGACATATAATTGATTCAAAAGGCATATTTCCGTCGACAAAGAGATTAGAAGCTATTCAATTAATGCCAAGACCACAAAACTTGCGCGAACTTGAAGCTTTTATAGGTAAAATGAATTATTATAACAAATTCATACCGAATTTTTCTTCAAAGGCAGCAGCTTTGAATGAACATAGAAGGAGGGATGTTAAGTTTATATGGGGAGATAGACAAGACAAATCTTTTCTACTTTTAAAAGAATCAATACTTAAAGTAGTTCAACTAGTGCACTACAACGATGAATTTCCTATCGTTCTTGCTACTGATGCTTCAATGCATGGTATCGAAGCTGTAATTTCTCATCGATTTCCAGACGGCACGGAAAAGCCAATCTCGTTTGCTTCAAAAACATTAAACTCAAGTCAGTTGAATTACTCTCAAATTGAAAAAGAAGCTCTATCTATTATTTTCGGTGTAACTCGTTTTCATCAATATCTTTTTGGAAGACATTTTGAACTAATAACAGATCATCAAGCTTTAACCACGTTATTTCATCCTTGTAAGAAATTACCTATTATGACTTTACATAGACTTCAACGATGGGCGATTGTGCTTCAGGCATATGATTATTCAATTCAATACAAAAGTATTAAGCAACACGCAAACGCAGATGCATTGTCAAGACTTCCGATAGGGGAAGATAAAGAGTTTGATAAGAAAGAAGAAAACATGTTTAACGTGGAACATATTTATCAATCTACTCTTGACGAGTTTCCTATCAATGCTGATGTTATTTCACAGTATACCAAACAAGATTCACTCTTATGTATTGTGCAGAAGTACATAGAAAATGGATGGCCTAATTCTTTACCAAAAATACAATCGCATATTAAACCTTTTTATGAAAGAAAATTATCTTTGTCTATTCAAAAAGGTGTAATTTTATTTCATACTGATTACATACGTGTAGTAATACCATCGGCGTTACAAAATAAGATTTTAGATACTCTTCATGAGGGTCATTGGGGCGCAAGTAGAATGAAACAAATGGCAAGGCGTTACATATGGTTTCCAAAGATAGACGAAGAAATTGAAAAGCTGTCTAAATCTTGCAAAACATGTGTCATATTTTCAAGCAATCCAAAACGGGATTTTCTTCATGGCCAGTGGCAACTGAACCTTGGGAAAGGGTACACGTCGATTTTGCTGGTCCTTTCTTTTCTCGCATGTGGTTGATCTTGGTTGACTCTTATTCTAAATTTCCTTACGTTTTTGAATTGTCATCAGCAACGACTTCTTCTACAATAACAGCGCTGCAGAAAATATTTTCAGTTGAAGGTCTTCCCAAAACCATTGTAAGTGATAATGGACCACAATTGACCTCGGAGGAGTTTCAGACCTTTTGCAAATTGAATACGATTGAGCATCTTACATCTGCTCCTTTTCATCCGGCATGTTGTTGTTGTAGCAGCATACAAATTCCCCAAAGACTTTTTGGGGAGTGTTGCTGGAGTGACAGTCCTTGGCCAGATATAAATCTGGGTCGTTCCGGTTACGTAGACCCGACTGTCGTGGGTCATCCGGCATCGAATGGTTTGGCAGAACGTTTTGTAAGAACATTCAAGCAAGCGTTTTCTAAAATTATGACTACTGAAACTCATCGTGAAAAAGCTTTATATAAGTATTTGGCTACATATAGATCCACACCGAACACAGTCAGTGGAAAATCTCCAGCAGAACTGTTACATGGACGTCAATCGCGCACTATTTTATCTGCATTGTTTCCACAAAAACAAAATGTATGCTACAGTAAATCCAAATTTCACGTAGGTCAAGAAGTTTATGCACGAAATTATTCCGGAGCCAAAAGATGGGTTGAAGGACAAATTCTTGAAGTTATTGGTCAAATGATGTATCATGTTCAAACAGAAACGGGAACAATCAAGCGCCATCAAAATCAGTTAAAGGTCAAGTTAGTTACTCCACACACTGATGCTTATTCTAAATCAAACCGGTCTACATACGATACACGGTGGGCAGGAAGCGAAGATAAGTTGCATAAAAATGTCGACAAAATCTGAAAGCAGGGTTGTATTTGTTGATATCTTAAGGTTAAGATTCCGCTTAAATTGAAATCCTAGCTGCTCCTGTTTTAAAGATATCCATTTTATCCATATTTTATATACTTCTGATAGGATATATTTGCAAAAGAGGAAGGCGTACTTCTCGATAATTAGAGCATATTTATACGAAAAGAAATCTCACACAAATCTGTTCCTCTTTTTTAACTCACTAAAACGGATCAAATCAATGTGAAACATTTTCATTTTTTCCTACCGAAAGAATAACTGATCGAGATTTATTGGGCGCTACCGGTATACAACTTAGATAAAACACCACAATTACCTTTTTCTGTAGCGTGAACTTTCTCATTACAAACACTTTCAATATCGCAATATATGTATGTATGTATACAATATTTATTAGTAAAGTGCAAGTCTGAAGTTACCAGAAAATTTCGTTGATTTTTTGCAATTATTTATTTTTTGCTGACAGTGTCTTCCACATACAAAAAAAATGTCGAACATAGTTTGTATGGAAGAAACTCTCCGTAAAAACAATACCAAATATATTGCCTCGTTCAAAGCCATGAGCAAAATCGTGAATACATGGTTTTCCGCAAAACAAGCGGATCTTAGTAATTTTGATAAAAATCTTAACGAGCTCCGCACAGCTTTGAAAATAGTGGAATTTCTCAAACTGTCAAAATCCATTTTATCCTTAAACATTTAAAGCAATCTATTTCATTCTTGAATAACGATGGTTTAGGATTATGGTCCGAGCAGGCCGGGAAGTCAGTTCATAGGGAATTCATTAAATTCTGGGATAGATTCAAAATAAATATGATTGATAAACCAACTTTTGTGAGTCGCCTGAAGAAAACTGTAATGACATTTTCATTCCAGCATATATAAAAACTTAACTAAATAATGAAATATTTAAATACTAAAATGTGTGACTATATTATATGGTAAGCCAACAAAAAAAATAAAAGGAAACAAAAAACAAATATAAAAAAATAAAGCAAGAAAAAAATATAAAAAAATAAAACCAAAAAAAGAACAAAGAGGTGCAAAGTAAGTTGCCTCTACGTGGTGCGCCTTGGAAACCATTGAAACCGGCTAAAAACTTACATAAACTTATATTTTCACATAATATATATACACACATTTACA